GGGTTGGAAGGGACTTCCAAGATCATCTAGTTCCAAGATCATCATGTTCCTGCCATGGGCAGGGACACCCTCCACTAGACCAGGTTGCCCAAAGCCCCATCCAACCTGGTCTTGAACGCTTCCAGGGATGGGGCATCCACAGCTTCTCTGGGCAACCTGTGCCAGTGTCTCACCACTCTCACAGTAAAGAATTTCTTTCTAACATCTAATCTAAATCTACCCTCTTTTAGCTTAAACCCATTACCCCTTGTCCTGTCACTACACTCCCTGATAAACAGTCCCTCACCATCTTTCCTGTAGGCCCCTTCAGGTACTGGTAAGCAGCAATTAAATCTCCTCGGAGCCTTCCCTTGTCCCGGCTGAACAATCCCAACTCTCTCAGCCTGTCCTCATAGGACAGGTGCTCCAGCCCTCTGATCAGCTTCGTGGCCTCCTCTGGAAGGAGGCCCTCCTTGTGGCTTTCCTGTTCTTACTCCCTAAGAAGAAATTCATCAGTCATAACTGATTGTAGAAAATTCAATCAAATATTAATAGTCTAAATTAGAAACAAGATTGCAGTTGGTCAATTCTGGAGTATAGATCAAACTGGACACAGATTTTCTTTGTCACTAGTGAGAGCCCACATCACACCACATAGTCAATATCTATCCAAACCAAAGCCCATTCTTTGTAGAAAAAATAACAATAATTGTTAGTGGTTCAAGGAATCTCACAGTAACAGACTAGCAGAATGTGAAAGGCAAATGAAAGACTAGGGCAAAGGAAGAGCATTCAGTTATGCTTTCAAGAGCTGCTTTCAACTTAGTAATAAGCTAAAATAAGTAGGTTTTTGTCCCCTTTAATTTTGAAAAACCTAACATGGGGCTTAAAATAACATTTTTACAATGATAATTTTGTTGTTTGGGCTGTGATTGCTTTTTAAACCTACTTTCATTAAATATCTGCTTTTTTTCCCCACTGACTCACTCTCTTGGTTATATAAAATTACTGGTGCTTTTGTCATTCCTGTGCCCTGTTGGAGAACTAGCTCAGCAACATTTGTGAACTCAAATAAAGCAAGTAAGCCTTACTTCATGCCATGATGTATCCCTTACACAGACAAAATAAAAGGAGAAATCCCAGCTCTACCAAAGTGAACAGAAACAAATTACACCTTAAATTCAGTAGCATTAAGATTTGACCTCAGCTTTTTTTCCAGAGTCAGGAGTGCCAGACTGAGTCCATCTTGAGTGTCTCCTTTCGCACACGGAGACTTGTGACATGATACATTCAGCAGAGAGACTTGTGAATACAAACTCTTCATTGTGAAGTCTAACATAATAAAAGTCAAGAATATATACTTAACTGATCAGCAAATAACATGCCCTTGTTGCAAACTTAAATGCAGTTCTGCAAAGGAGCTTCAGGAATGACACTAAATTAGAAAACAACCTGTGCTCCTCATTACATTTCTTGTTACAGTTAATGAGAAATACACTTGCAACTTGTCAGCATGCAGGCTCACACTGAGATATGAGGAACAAACAGATTAATTTCATTAGCAGGCATTGCCATCTATAATAAAGCTATAACAGGCCAAATGCTCTCATTTACGCTCCTGAAACCCTGTCTCCCTCCAGTCACACTGTTATACTTTCAGGATGCCAAGAAGGGAAATGGATCTGGCAATTGTCACTGGTTGGAAGTGCAAACAATTTTTCCCTTAACCACATTGGCTTTGCAGAGTTAACAAGAATATAAAACCATAAAAGCTTACTTCAGTCATTAAAGAGATCTGACTCACAAAAAAGGAATCGCTATGTTGAGTTTGGAGTTGTCAGTTGACATAGTTACTAAACTAATTGCCAGAAGCTGGGAAGTTAGCAACTAGCTTTATTTTTTAAACTTTTTCCCCCTAATTTTCTGCTAATGACTGTTGCCAGAAAGAAGTTGCTCAGGTAGATGGCTCTTGAGACCTACTATAGCAATGTTTGCGGTTTTGGAATAGATACATACTTTTACTAGCATCATAGGCCACTATCAATTAGATCATCACATGATGATAATAATTTAATGTTGTGGTGCCTGAATTACTGTCTGTGGTGATATCTTAACATCATGCATGCTTTAACTCTAGCTCTTGAAAAGATGAATAGAAGTTACAGGGCACTGATATTAAAGTTAAAATTAAATGGCAGTGGGAACCTTAAAAGTACACCACCACCACTGAGTACTTGAAAATAAGTTCAATTTTAACAAATAAAGAGAAATTACCCATTCAAGTATGGGAAGGGATAAGAAACTTCCTTTAAAGAATTCCTCAGTATAAGACATCACACAAAATAACTAGTCAGAGAGTACTTCAAGAAAAAGGAATCAAGATTCACTTCTCAGGTGATGTATAGCTGAATCCCTAAAAGCTCCTTAGCCTGAGCCTGCTTACATGTGTTACTAACCAAAGCCAAGTCTGAGAAATCACAAACATATGACAATTTCCCTTCCTGCTGCTAGAAACTCTGCCTAATCTCCCAGCAAGTGGTCCCATTTGGCTCATACTCAAAGCCTGAAAGAGATCCCAGTTTCCTATAGCTTAATATAATTTGTATGTCAACTCAGTGAACAGAGGCATTACAAGAAACCTCCTGGCATGCTTACACCTTTACCAGCGTGCATATATTTTATGCAAACTGAGCAGTAAGGCACAGAGCAGGTACTATTTCTGTGCTTTTTACCAGGCTGGCTAGCCCATCCACTCATCACAGTGTTGGAAATGAGTGTTCATATTATACAGTGGTCTTTGTTTTGTGAATACACAGCTCCAAGTGCCAAGCAGTATGCACGAATCTTTTACATTACAAATCAGCGAGGAGCTCCATTAATTTCAGCCAACACTAGGTGAAGCCACATGAGGTGAAGGAGTGGGTAATAAGCCATTAGACTTACTTCAGTTTCTCCTATAGTTACTTTATGCCTTTTTAAACTTGCCTTAATTAAATTCATTCTTTAAACTTGTCTTAATTAAATTCCTTCTGGAACATAAAAATCACTCAGTTTCCACTGATGTGGAAATGGCTCTTTTTAGGCCAGCAAGACTTTTGCCTTGAGGCATTTACTGGAGCTAGGATAGGAATCAGTGCTTATAGCTTATAGAGATTGTTTTATTATCATGCTCAGTGAGTTTGCTCAATGAGATTCATACTACACTTCCACTGTGCCAATGTTTGTTTTTTCAAGCAAAAAAGGTTTGTAAATAATGGCCCCAGAGTATTATCTGACAAACCAGTGTTCTGTTTTAAACACAAAACCAACAGATGCTACCTTCCTTACGCATCTAAATAATTGCAAGGTAGTGAGTTGTGCTGCTCTTTATTCACTGAGATTTGATCTATGAAAGTAAGTGCAACTATTTGTAATCACCATGTTGACCTTATGCAATGGTTTATGTTCAGATGCAGAATCCTCTTTGCAGAAAGCAGATCCCACAGTGAAATCCAATCAGGAATCACTGTCAATGGTACAAGCAACAGTTTCTTGTAGTGCTTGTGACACTGGTTGGAGAGTACACGTGAGGTAGGTAGAGCAAATGGCAGCAGCTTTTAAAGGGATCTTGTGAACAAAGAGCAGAGACCTGGGAATTGGGATTCTCTTCCAGAGGCTGCAGTAAAATCACTGTATAAGCCAAGGCAAGCCATCGTATCTATAGTCAAAATTAAGCCAGTCAGGCTATAATATATAGCATTGTTTTTAATGTCTCTAATTCAGTGAAGTCCTAATCTGTGATAAGAGCCCCATGAAATTGATGCAGAAATCAATTGAGTCATTAACAATAAAAGGAATCATTGAACAATCAGGTGGGGGGGTAGTTGTATTTGGTATACAGGAGAGCTGTTGTTTTTCTAATTCCTGCCTATGTTTGTACTTTCCACTTTATCATCTCGACGTTTGCAAGCAATAAAAGGGCATTATGTGCTGGTCATTGCATCTGCTTTTGAGATAAATCTATGTTAGCATTCCAAAGGGTCAAGGAACTCTTCCAGGGCAAACAAATTCTGCAGCACTGATGCCAGATGGTGTGTATATAAAGTGGAAAATAAGAAAAGCAATTCACTGTGTTCCTGTTCCAGGGAGAAGCATCATCCAAAAGGATAGCAAAAGAGGTGAGAAACTACTGAGAAATTGGAGAGACAGTTTTCTTCTTCTGTAACATGTTGTTTTCTTTATATCTAAAAAGTCTAGGTACATAGAGGAGCTGCAGTTGTTATTCAGGCAAAATTATTCAAAAAAGATAACAGAAATATTTAACTAAAGAATGAAGGGTTAAATTAATAACATGTATAAAGAATTATGCAGTGATTTATGTAACAGGTTCTAGATTTATCTATATAGCTCACTAATATGTAGTCTCTGTTTAGAGAAATTTTAGTCTCACAGACAAAACGTTTTTATCTTGCATTTTTGACCAAACTCTACAAAACAGGCAGAAAATAAAGGATCAGATTCTTAAGTATAAATTAGCATAGCCTCCACAAAACAAGTTATCAATGTAATTTATCCAGCTCAGGTCCTGACCACTACTAGCTCACTTGCAGCTGTATTAAATGTGTAATTTCCAAGTGTGCAAAACAACTCCGCAAGTTTTAGAACTAAGCAATCTGTTCTTCAAATCTAGTGAAGCAGAGGAATGTCTCTTGGAAGGGCTCAAAGATAAATTCAGGTCGGTGTAAGAATTTTAAAATAATTTTCTTAAATACTGAAAATTATAACATGTTTTCATAAATAGCTTGAACTATTGGTGGCTTTTAGCACTTGCCACTGAACCTCAAAAATATGTAGCAGAAGTGTTTAGATATAAGCAAAGAGAAAGGAAGAATGTGTGTCTTAATATTTAGGTGTGCATCTTTGCTGAGCATATTTTATTTGGTTATATATGTAGCTTTTTTAAGCAGTCCTTCCTTTTAAAGCTATAGCTTCTCCTGGAAATAAAGGATATAAATAAAGACTTCTCTCCACACAGGAAAAAGAACCAAACAATAATGCTGAGGTTTGCTGTCACCTTCTTTGCTGTCATAACATCATCTACCTGCCAAAAATACGGATGTCTGGAAGGGGACACCCACAAACTGAAGCCAAGTCCTGAACCAAATATGCATGAATGCACTCTGTACTCTAAATGTAAGAGTGGTTTAATTTTTGCCAAATACAGTCTAGAAGTTCAGCTTTGTACACACTAATTGTTTTGGCAGTTCCCTTAATTTCTCAGAAATATATAAGATGCGGTATATGTCGCATTTGAAAAGCTTCCTTCATTGGCATTTTACTGTATGCAACTCAAGAGTAAGATTCTGGCTCTTAACAAAGTCAACTGCAAAACTCTCATTGACTTCATTTATTATCTTCAAAAAATTATGATGCAGTTTCCTTTTCTTCTAGCTCTATCCACTTAAAAAAGTTTACAGCAAAGATTAATCTGGTTTATTGTGATTAAGTATAAAAATTAATTAATTGTAGCAGACACCAAATGGAAAAGGTTGAAATCAAAATTCTATAGTGGGCAAAGTACGGTATTTATTACATTTCTTCAACTCTCTTTTTATGTTTGGTAGCTTTCAAAGTTAGTATCCCTCAGGATATAACACCTGGCAGAACACTATAAAATTCTTGGGGCTCTCTGGGCACAACTTGAGAAAGCAGTGTTGACGCCAGTCCACCTCACTTAGCATTTACACTGTCACTTCCAAAACCAAAATATTAGAGCTTGAGTACATCTTCTAGTTCATGCTAAAAAACTTTATCATGTTATGGACCAAAACAGATTCATCTTACATTTTGAGTCTTCCAAGTACAGTATTAAAGAAAATCCTTATTGCAAGATCTCTGTTTCATTCCTAACAGCTTCCTGTTGCTATGCAAACTTCACAGAGCAATTGGCTCATTCCCCAGTAATTAAAGTAAACAACAGCTACTGGAACAGATGTGGGCAGCTCAGTAAATCGTAAGTCAGCTTTGATGTTGTCTGTGTCCTGGTTCAATAGATCTATGCTATAGCAGCCACACAGCTAATGGTAACTCCCCCTGCAGTTGCTGATGGACAGTCCCTAAGTTGCCCTAGAGATGATGCAACCCAGCCTAGTTCCCATCATCTTTTCTCTATACCTGACCAAAGTCTGGCTCTTCTTCTTCTCCTTTCACAAAAGCCCATGGATCCCTAAGTATATACTATTCGTGCAGAAGGATTTATGCCATTTTATCAAGAAAGGGTTATGTTTTTTCAAGTTTGCTTTCAGAAGAATCAGATCTAGCAATGCAAAGCAGTCATAAACCCACTGTAGGTAACAACCACACTGCACCTCTATAGCTCTCCACAGCAACCATCACATACCAGTGAGTGTGACCCTTAGTCAATTCAGACCAGGCTTCTTCCTTTGTTTAGAAAGCATATCAACTAGATTATTAAATCTCACAAACAAAACATGAAAGAGTCCAGAAATGCAACTTCTGAATATTTAGAATCAAAATTCCTGTAGTCCTGTGGGTTTTGTAACCACGAAGAATGTCTTCATAATTAAGATTTTTAGTACCCCTTTAGATGTTAGAGCTGTGAAACATGGCAAGTTATAGAAATAAAAGAATGAAAGTACAAAACAATTAAGCAAAAACAGATGTGCAAAATAACAGCTATTGCTTGCCACTCCCAGAAGAGCAGCAACAGTATGCGTTTTTAAGTAACTTCAGCTGGGCTGTGGGAAAATCTAAAGATTAGTGAAACCATGAGGCTACAGCATAGAAGAAGTTTGTACTATAGTTTTAAACTACATTTTATTATTGCCTGGAGTCATGCTTCCCAGGAAAACTCAAGGCCTCAAAGTTTACAGAAAGCTTACACAAATGGGGCTGAAATATGCATGGAAACATTTGTGCACTCTTCAGCTGGCTATGGTAATTGCACAGTCAGAGTCTGTACACAATGCCAAAGGAATGAGTTTGGAACCTAGACGTTAACAGGGTGAAAGGATGCTTTTCTATGTTTTTCTCCTCATCTGTAGTATTGCATCCACATCAAAGCAGGCCTAGAAAACTGAAGCTATAGCCTTGATGCTAAGAAACAGGCTTATTTGTGGCTTTTCTCACCCACCACAGCTGCGAAGATTTCACAAAGAAAATTGAGTGCTTTTACCGGTGTTCTCCACATGCTGCTCGCTGGATCCATCCCCACTACCCTGCTGCTATTCAGTCTGTTCCACTGTGTAAAAGCTTTTGTGATGACTGGTAGGTTCAGCTTTTTATCAAAGTATTGTTATTTCGCTTTAATATGCCTGTGTTACTCAGGTGTCGAGAAGCATGGATGGATGAAGCACAGATCTCCCAATCATGTGGCAGGAAGATTCAATGGTGGGGTACCACCTTTATGCCTTTTCACTTGTTTTTCCTCTTCATTTCTTGTTTGCCATCTCTACTTTTTCCTTTCCTAAGCTACTACTCCCAAAATAATAGACACAGGCTGAACACTGGATGGTCTGTCAGAGTTTAGTGACTCAGGGACAGCATGGCTCTGCTCTCCCCAAGGAAGCAGTGCAGGGGCACCAGAACTGCCTGATGTGACGGAGGAGCTCTCACCATGTTGACAGGCACTAACAGCGGTGAGGGCCTGCCCACCCTTTGAAAAGCCCATGCCTGTGAGTTAGTATTTATGCAGTTAGCATTTTAAATATAAATACTTCATCATGATATGATACATTTCTTTTATATGTATAAAATGCACTACGAAATCATGAAAGCAGACACTTCCTGTATGATTTCAATTAATTCATATAACAAATTAGCTTAATTCCTTAATTTTTCACCCTTGGCTTTTTCTCTTCCCTTCCATCATCCCTCTCTCTAAAACCACTTCCAAAAGCCTGAATCTCTGAGAAACTTGCAGTCAAGTAATGCTAAAAACATTAATAGCAATGAGCAAGCATAACAGCATTTAATTTTGTTTCCCAAAATACAGCATCAGGGAATCACATTTTTTTTTTTGAGTGCAAGACATGTAGTGGGACAACCCAGCATCTGTCTGTCCATACTCTTGGGGTAGGAGCATTATATCTGGGTGGGGTACTGAGATTTTTTCAGTGGTCCATATCCAGCATTTCTCTCTCCCTCCCTCCCTCCCTTCACTCCTCCCTTCCTCCTTCCCTGTTATGAGATGTTGGATCTTAAATAATGTCATATAAATCTCAGTCAGTACTGTATTAATGTATGTAACTACAGTAAATAGTCTGTATGGTTAAATTGGTGTGAAGCATAGTACAAACAGCATAGGCTGTGTTCACACTATAGGATTATAACTGCTAGCATCCCTTGAAAGTAATGAACCATGAATGTCTGAACCCCTTAGACTGCTCTGAAAATCGTGGAAAACTGATATGATTCTTCCAAAAATGTTATAAAAGACCTTTTTTTCGAAGCACAGAAAATACAGAACACACGGTAGCACATGGTCAGGTTCTCTTGCACTGCTCTGTACAGTGCTGTCCCTAGTGATTATGCAACTTGAATATTATTGACACATGGATCCATTTTCACTCTCATTTTCCCTCCAAGGGCAAAGTCATGTACGCAGTGCAGTATTTTGGTAGGACGCGTCTTTAATTATGTCTCCATTGCTTTGTGCCAGAGATGGAAACAAGCATAGTTTGGATTTGTAATGGAAGATAGTGAGAAGGGCTGACGTATTTCTTAGCTTCCCTAGAGTTTCCTCTAGTGATGAATTTTATTTCTGTGTTAGGAAACTCCATGTGCCTCAGGAACAGATTTGTCATGTGCAATCTTCCTTCCTAAATTTTTGGTAATCTTCTAAACTGATTCCAGATTATTGACCTCCTTGAAGATAAAGACTGAGACCTTGAATTTGCCTCAGTGATCAGAATCTCAAAGCTCAGAACCAAATATTATCAAAATTTGAAAGCATTTGGATATTAAAGCATTGGAGTTGCCAGTGAGCTTTAGAATAAATCTAACAGCCAAAGTGACAGAATACCAATATCTAAAACAAATGTATCCCAAAATAACTAGCCCACAAAGTCATCACCAAACTGCTATATCCAGTGAAAGTGTAAAGATGAAAGAAAATAAACCCTGTAAGTTTAGTTTGCTTGTATGAATTGGTTTAAGCCAGTCTTAGTATATATGAGAGTTATACCAAACTGTATATGGTGGGTCAGTATTACATAGCAAAAGCATCAGTGTCCCCTGTGTATTGCCAGAACCTCCAGGTAAATAGCATATTTAACTTTTAAATAGCATATTTAGCTTTTGTTGTTGGAAAGTGTGTGTGTGTGTGATTGAGAGCTGCTGCACAGGAAAAACTGATCCTTTTCCAGCACAGAGTCTCCTGGCAGAGAGCAGGCGCTATTCTAAACAAATACTGAACAATGATCTGTTGCCCCTGTTGGCGTCACAGATGCCTGGCCTGAATCAAAAATGTAATGATGACCCATTACCGGGCACACTAGTCTGTGGGCCTGCCTAATGCCAATGTCAAACCCATTCCCTCACCCTGCTTAAGGCCTGAAGCTAGAAAAGAGCTTGGACAGAATTCCCACTCTTTCTGGTGATTTAAAGTAACATTTTTTCATGTTCTATTCACTGGAGTCCCTTTAGCGTGCCGTAGCATTGCTAGTGATGTGACCTACTTTTTCTACATGCCATGAGTGTGCCTGCTGCATAGTGTATGTCTTTGTGGCCAGAAATGTGCAGAGGATTCTGAATGAGCAATGACTTCATTTAAAAGAAATTCATCTGACTAGCTTGGAGCCTTCCTTTTCTTCCTATTGTCTTAGGATTCCTTGCTCCCACTAGTCCTAAAACTATTGCTTTTGAAAGAGCCTGAGGTACAAGCCATTTTCTGATCCACCTGTGAAAGGGCATTGTGCCCTTTAAAAGATAAACAGCTAATTATAAAAAATGGAGAGGAGGGAAAAAAAAGCTGTAAAATAAAAATACCCAAAATATCCTGCCTGTTGTACGTAGGGAACTAGTATGTTCAGGGGTGATATTTTAAGTATTTATGTTTATGTTTCTCACAAGTTTTAATTAATGTTTGAAGAAACCGCTTATGGGTTTCTGGACAGCAGAAATCAGACTTTTCATAAGTCATGATTTTTCATAAACTTAGCTTCATAATTACTTCCATTGGGATAAAGAAAACCTCGTAATAATAGAGTTATGTCTTGCTACCTACTTATATAACAAGCCCCAGAGTCAGGCAATAATCATACTTAGGAAACATTTAACCTGACAATTCAATAGATAATAGTGAATAAAAATATAAATACTCTAATAAACATATTTAATTCAAATTCCTGAGGAACCTAGATGCATAGTATGAATACCCCAGTTCAGTAAAACTCTGAAATACATATTCATAATTTGAAAAGTATAACTGAAGGTGACACTAATTTCAAAAGAAGCAGTTCTGCCCTCTCCTAAGCCCCAAGGGCTGCTCATTCTTTCCCCTGCCCTGTCCCCACCCCTGTGCCAGCAGCACTGTCTGAGAGACTGTGAAGCAATCCTGGTCTGGGAACCCATCTGGCTGAAAAATATTTAGCCAAATAAAAAAGGAAACCAAAAAAGAAGACTGTGGGAAGGGCACGACTGCTTTAAGTGAAAGTGCTAGTATTAGGCAGCTCACAGTAGATATTGATCGACTTTGCTGGAAAGCAATGAATTCAAATGCATGCATAAAGAACATGCCTACACAGCTTGAAAAATCAAGGGCTAATTGTTGAATCTGATGCTGGTATGTAGAGAGTTTATAGATGGTGATTAACAGAAAATTTGCATTGATGCTTCTAACTGGTGTGCCTTCTAGCAGGCAAAGTGACTAGTATTAGAGAAACAGCTGTCACTGAGGAGTTACCTCTGTGTGTGTTTCTCAGTCGGTACACACAGAAGCTAACAAACAACAAACTAATTATTCTTAGAGTCCCTAGTCCCAAATCCAGTCATGGTACAAACTGGTAGGATCTGCCTATTAGTGTCATATTATATTTATCAATTTATCAAATTGCAGCCTGTTTCCAGCAGAGCCCTTACCTCTGACAGCAGATTCATAGATGAACACATTTAATGTCTCCTGCCCCAGACCTGTTTAGTCCAGGCTCTGGTTACCCTCCATCTGTTACTGCTCTTTCTCCCTCCACTCACTCTGTCCTTCTCCCACTACCAAGGAGAAGACACAGAAAAAAACTAGTGTTTTGGGAAGGTAGAAATTGTTTGTGATCACTACAATATGCAGGATTTTTTTCCCTAGTGTTCTGATCACTGTGTCAGAGTAGCCTTGAGAAACTGAACGTGTCAGAGATCAATAAGTCACCGAATCACAGGAAGAGCTTCTCATCTGGTCAGTCCTTCAGCAAAGATCTTGACTTTTGAAGACTGACTTCAATGTGAAAACAAGAGGCAGGAATATTTTAAACCTACTGTATAGTTTCTCTGTGCACTGCAAATATGTTTAAAATCACATCAGCCACCACCGCAATAAAAACTACTACAGGTAAGGTCCTATAGGATCTATACTGGTCTGAGCACTTGTAATCAGTACTTGTGCTTGTAATATGCAACACCTAGAACTCCTGATGCTGGCTGTGGCCTAATTTTCCAGGCACTGTGCAGTAAAGATTGCCTGTAGCACAAAAAGCCCAGAAAACCTACGTGAAGGTTCTGCAGATGTGCATGTTCTTACCTTTCTGCATGTGCAAATGTATTGCAATGTCTAGTTCCTGTAGTTCTGTGACCACGTGACAACCTCATATTTCACTTAAAAATGTAAGTCTGCAGCCCTCAGGATATCAAAGTAGTTTTGGAAACATGACCCTGAAGATTAAAAATGACAAACAGAAAATATTTCCAAAGGCATTAATTATAAATACCATGCTGAACTATGCTTTTTGAAAGCTGTGCCCCACTTTTGGCACTCTGTTACTGGTGTGAATAGTCCGCCTGAAGCCATTGAGACTAAATTTAAGCAGATGTTAACTGATTTGCAGAAAGTGATCCGTAAGAACGGTAAGAGCCAAAAAGTAGAACATAAAAAGAAGTAGAAGGAAGGAAATTATGTAGAATAATGATAAATCATGAGATCTCTCATCACATAGACCAGCCAGTTGCGTACCATACTCATTCCAGGCCATTTACAGGCTTTTCTTTTTTTTTTTTTACATTACCATTTGCAAGTTAAAAATAACTTAAAATTTAAAATTTTGGACCTTATACTCTACAAGACTGTTATCTTTCCTCCTTCATTTCAAGTTTAATTTCTCTGAAAACATAGATCTGAGGCTGACAGCCTATTACTTTTTATGATTTTGTTCTTTGTGGATTTTCCTTATTTTAGCAAACATTCCCCATAGCAATTCCCTGCCCAGGAAATATCATTCTTCCTTTCCCATATTAATTCATAAATACAAACTTTCCCCACATCTCCCTCAAGTGACAGTTCACTTTTAGCATACCTGTGCTGTCACAATATTGAACATCAGCATTCACGAAACTCCCTCCCACACAGTATTTCCTCCACTCAGTAACATAAGCAAACACAACCCAGCAGAAAACACTCCATGAATGTTTCTCCTCAGAACATGAGCCCTTTACTTAAGTCTGTGAGTATAAAATGTAGAGGGTGAACTGTTTGATTTTCATGGGGATTTAGGTCTTCCTGGCCAGCTCAAAGTTTATGTACGTGTCAAGCTAAGATAATGTGCACATTTCTTGAAGATCTGTTGCTAAGCTGTGCAACTATACAACATTACTAGCATAGCCCATGAGTTGAGTTGAATCTGAGTCCACTGAAAAAAAGTGAGAGAAATAACTGTATCTTCCACACTATTTTCCATGAAGGTATGAAGCCTGCAAAGCTGATTCCATATGCATTCATAACTGGCTGACGGACTGGGAATGGGATGAAAGTGGAGAAAACCACTGTAAGAATAAATGTATTCCATACAGTGAGGTAAGAGAACCTGATCAACTGGAGCAGAATATACATTTTAAAACATTTATATTTATGTAGATTGCTTATTCTAAGTATATATACATTTAATCACTATTCCTACCACTTGTGAAACAAAAGTAAAAGTTCAAGCAGCACTGATATTATAACCACAGTGGGGCTTAGAAAGTAAAATCTCAATGAACTTTGTTCATACAACAAAGACACTGAGATGCATTTTATAAGGTTCCTTACATAATCTGGGGTTTTACACACCTCTGTCTTTTTAAATTGGGACCTAAGTTCCCAGATCGTTAAGGACTTTTTACGGTTTTCTTGCCTATTAGGCATCTTTGCCCTTTTCTCTATTATGATCAAGTACTCCATCCTCCAAACCCCTAAGTACTGACATTCTTCTAATTGCCTCCCTTTTCTTCTCCATAGATCTATCCTATCTCTGATGTGTGTTCTCCATTGTCTGGCAATGACTAGGCAGTGTTAACTTTGTTCTGTATCACTCTGATGGTTAAAGAGCAGCACTGACAAGATTTCTGAGAGCTCATCCCATCTTTCTGAGAAGGTTTAATGGTTGGGGTAACTAATTTTATGAGCAAAAGTGTATAAAATGAGAACTGATAAGACTTATAAGAGCAAGGTTGGCTGGAACCTGATCTACAGAGCTTTCAAGAGTCAGGTAGGATTTTCTTTAGTGACTTAAGTAAGTTTAGCATCAGGGCAATATAATAGCTCAAAACTGATACACTTACTTGAATATTTTTAACAGTTGAACTTCACTGAGTCCATGAAAACTGCACAAATTGCAGAAGTAAACAAAATTTAAGTGTAATGCTTAGGGACTCATAGTAAGGCTTGCAGAGATCCCAGATTCATTGTTTTGAATTCAGTTCACATGCAGGTACTTCCAGAGGTCAGTTCAGCAACTGATATAAGTGGAAGTCACAGTCCAGTTAGTGCAGGATTGCTGTCTGCCTTGCAAAAGTCACACTAATCAGCAGGCTCAGGAAAGTGGCCAAAAAACAAATGGGCTGCGGAAACTTACAGCTTAGTTTCCCAGATGTGCTAAATCATCAGTAGTTCCAGACGAAGTGAAAAATCTCCGTAAATAATCTCCAGTCTCTGTTCAAACTGTCCCTGGTCCAGAGATAGGAGGTTTTAACCTTGAATTTCCTTATACTTATTTCTTAAAGAAAATATACCATCTGCAGGGAAAAACATGCAGCAAATCCAGAGGTCTTATCACTTGAAGCCAGGCACAGCTATTCCTAAACTAAATGGAACCACACCCTAAACTGCCCATGTTTTTCACCAAAAATAGGCTTGCATGGTAAGTAAGAATAAAGATGAAGTTTCTTCAGAGAAATTAAAAAAACACATTTCCCATGTGAAAACTACATGATATACACTAGACTTGCTTGGTTTGGATTCAACTTATGGGAAAGCAAGTTACTGTTACCCAGAAGCACAAAGGGTTTTCCAATGTCAGAGCACTGTGGACAGATGCTTACTTTCTTTTGATGCCCTCAGCTCATACAGAGGAGCAATCAGCAGCCCTACATTTGACATATGCAAGAAGTTTTAAGGACTATTTGGAACAAATGCTGAATATTAAGAATGCACAATGGATCGTAGCCAGTTTTAGCCTGGCTAAAATGAGGCATGTTTTGTCATTGTTCTCCCAGCTGAGTGCTCCCCAAGCAATGTTAATGCACAGACTGGAACATTTTCCAAGAAGCTGAAGAATCAGAATCCTTTGCAGTAATTTAGGGACATGTTTGGCAAATGAGCTGTGTGCACTGTTTGTTTGCTGCACCATTCTGTCTGTGCTCTGATCTTTAAGCAGAGTTAGAAGGAAAGTCAAAATAAAATTACCAATTTAGCAAGTAGAAGAGCATGAATACGTTACAGAACCTGTAGGAAAGAACAATGGGATGTAGCCATGTCTCTTACATACAGAGCTAAGAAAACCCACATGACAGCTTTTAATACTTTTTGGAATGATTAGGTAAAAGCAGGTAGAAATCCAGGAACTGTACAGCAGCTGGAAGAAAATGTCTAATGCTATTTAAAAGCACAGGAATAGTGGGAAAGAAACAGCTAAGATCTGCCTGCCCTGAGAACACAAGGAGAGAACCAGATACTGCAACCTTTCAATTTCTGACCTTGCATTGCTCTCAGTGCACCAGCCAACCTCCACACTTCTCCAGCAACTGCAGCATCCATGGAGTGAGCCCTGCATAGAGATGGTGTGAACTGAAAAGCTATTTTGCAGAGGCTTTGGGGCTATTTGGAATGGAGTCTTTATTATTCACAAAGGATAGATTTCTAAGGCAAAAGCGATGATTACGATTTCTTCTCATCTGCCTTCCTGCACAGTATAGGTCAACACAGTTTTGCATGCAGGGAGAGAGAGAGACATCTCACAAGAAGAACTTGTGGAAAATAAGTGGAGTAGAAGCAGCTGCAGGACTACAGATGCCAAGTCCCACTTCCACATAATAGACTTAAATCTGTAATCATTTAACTTTTTCCACACAGAGAAGCTTCCGTGCAGAAATCTCCCAACCACAAAGCCAGGGCACCTTCTATGAGATTCACAGTGTCAGATTTTTATATGAGCTGGTGATGACAGTAAACCAGCACACCACCCAGAAATTACAGCACTAAGAGAAACACTGTAGGATTAAGGAATCAGCGTCATATGCAAGGACTACTTGTACTACTGCAGTTGAAACACACCTTTCTTCAGAGAGATGCTCTTGACATGGTCAAGGTGAATCAGTCAGTAATGGAACCCAGCAGCTCTGCTGCCTGATCTGCTGTTTCAGTCATTAACTCTCCCACTCCTTAATTCCCAAGGCTTCTACTCCTGACATCACTCCAAGCCTTGACTTCATTCTTAGCTTTGCTTCTGAGAATACCTAAAGCTTCCTTTACAGAAACAGAAAAGATTGAACTTCAACCACAAACACATGGGAGCAATGCAGGCAAGATAAAGTGTATATCCTGCCCACTCAGTAGCTGGACCTGATAACTCCTGAGCTAATACTCTTTAAGCAAACTCAAGCTGGGCAGACAGGAGGTTGTCACAATGTGAGCTTGGCAAGCAAAAAATATCTTTGTTTTGTGATTGCACAGGTCCTGTGGCAGAGAGGCCTTACAAAATGATGTAGTATCAAGAATCAGACAGATTCCCTTGCAGAGAGTGCAAGAAGATGCAGTTTATAATTTCTTGAGCCAGAAAGGCCATTGCACCACTGGACACAGCACTTCAGAAGACTGAAGAAAACTTTTCTTCAAGCAGTTTCTAACTTATATCCCTTATCTTTGTGAGGTCCCGTCCGGTCATGACATACACTGCGGCAGGCACAGCGAGATCCCACGGAGCTGTGACTCCACTGGTCTGTCTCCAGCCTGTAGATATAAAGATTCCTGTATTCAAAACACTCAGTCTGGTGCTTTCAGCACTACTCGGATCCTGAGACACGTCAGAGTGCCCTGACATGCTACAAGTTGTACTAGCTCTCACACACAGCTTTGGTCTGTCAGACAAAGAAAGCTAGCTGGGCTGTCAGGCGCAGGGTGGAAACAAAGGGCTGGCTGTTGATCACTTTGCATGTTGTGTAATTACTTGCTCTCACAACACACAAATATCTTTTGCCAGTGGTGGGACCAGATAACATTTTACGATGTCTCAGAAGTGGTGAAGCATGGCATGCAGCAACACAGTGGATGACTGCAGACTGTTTTTTTATAATCTAATATCAATTTTTTAAAAGTGATAAATGTTTATAGATTTGATACAAATCAATTTTAACTCATTTTTAAATGTAATTGATGCATTTCTTATTTGACACACAGATGTATGCAAACGGGATTGACATGTGCCAGAATATGTGGGGGGAGTCATTTAAGGTGAGCGAATCCTCCTGCCTCTGCTTGCAAATGAATGAGAAGGACATGATGGCAATGAAGTATCTCCTCTCCGAAAGCTCAGAGGAAAGTTCCAGCATCAGCAGCAGCGAGGAGCATGCCTGCCAAAAGAAACTCCTGAAGTTTGAGAAACTGAAAGGAGAGGAAGGGGAACAGACAAGATAAATGCTGGTGGATGTATGTCAGGACAAGAGAAATTGTTGTGGAGGCTGGACTCAGGGCATCATGCCAGCCTGCTTTATCCCTTACTTCCTAGAACACAATAAATCAATGGCTGGTTATATTAATCTTTCTCTGATGTTTTTGCATCTGCATCAGAAAGCTCCCAGACAGGTTAGCACAGGTGTAATCTTGTGACTTGAACTGAACAGCTAGAAGCCTGAAGGTAACATCTAGAGGTTGACTTTCAAAGAGGAGAGGCACAGGCAGCTCCTGCTGACTTAAGGTGGAACACTGAGAACTAGAGACTTCTGGTAGGCCATGCCACTAACACACCAAATCTTCAACCCAAACCCTTCATTAGCATAGGCACACAGCACTCCCGGCACGAGTTCCTGTGTGCCAGGCTCTGCTCAGATAAAGAAATATGGTCCAGGCAGAAACAGGTCAGTGAGCCTGGCTACTGACCACTGAAAATTTATTTATGTTGTATCTCAAAAACATATTTGCAAAACAGGGGATTGTGGTGTACTAGATAAATCCCTGGATCCATATATATACAGTATGCACGGTCTGTTGCACTGGGCTTTTACCTTATACAACAGCAGCACCAGTCTCCTACAATATGAATTTGAAGCATAATTTTGAGTCCAATTAATCCCACCGAATGATTCCAAACAGAATGATCTCTGACAAATGGAAGTGTCAGGGAAGACCCTAATTACATTTCTCCCATCAGTAATTCTGTTTCCCAGCATCACTGTTACGGTCAAAGTAAAACCAAAATCTGCACCATCCCAGAGGGACATATCAGGTAAGAATGAATGAAAGCCTGCTTTCACTTAGGCATCCATACTCCCTCTGTTATCACGGTAGAGCGGATAGGTCTGTGCCATTCTGTACAGCCTTTCATAGTGGTATCACCAGGGAAAACATAAGAAGGATTTAATTTGGGGGGTCAGATTACCAAATTGTGAAAATTCTCAGTGTTTGCTGTGGAGCTAGCCACCTTACATCACTTAAGGATCTGGCCCACAGTTAAAACTGACTTGGCGCATCCTGGTAAACTAGGAGAATCTTAGGAATTCAGCACACTTTCTTCACTGGGCTGTTTATTTATTGAATGTTTTCACACAGCTGCAATAGAATTGCTAGACCCATTAGGTCATGCTCTGCTTCCAACAAGATTCTCAGTGTATTTAACAATGGGCTAATTCCTACCAGCACTGAAATAGTTTTTAGAATGATATTTTGCTACATCTGTATTTTATGCTAACTCAATTTGTCTGATGTAGTGTTTAAAAAGAAAGAACAAAAATTTGGTCTTCTGTAAAGTTCTGACATTGTTTTTTCCTCTATTTCACTAACTCTGTCCTGTCCTGTCTTTCTTTATTGCACCTGAATCACAGTGGAAATTTTCCTGCTTTTTATTTTGCTGTGGTCAGAATTCAAGAATGAATTATCCCCTCTCACTGCCATAACACCAACTTTTTCTGTATCACCATGGCCAAAGATTTCCTTCATGTTCTTTGTTAAATACAGCACAATTGTTTCTGCCTGTCTCTCTGCTCTTTTTCTTCCCATTCCACTTTATTCTCTTTGCTCTGGCTACACTACTCTTGAAACCACACTCAACAAACAATTCTTCCATGCTTAGTTTCAGGATGACCCATGACACTGGTTGTTGCATGCTCTTGAACAGCACTGGATCCTACAGCAGTGAAGGGACCAAGACCATTTAGCTCCTATTCATAACTTTCCCACTGACTCATGATGTACCATTTAAGCAAACCATTTAACTCTTTTGTGACCCCAATAATTTTTCAGAGCTACCATATTTCCTCTAGGTCATCTCTTTTCTAAGCCAAAAAGTCAAGAACTACTCAGTTGTCCCTAGCATAGAAATTGTCCCATACCTCTTGGTCATTCTTTCATTGATCCAAATATGTTTTATTCAAATATAAGTTATCATCCAGAAAGACTTTCAGTCTTGATTTAAAACTCCAAATAATGCAGAATTCTCCAATGCACCTGATAATTTGTTTCTTCAGTAGTAAAGATTATCCCATATTTAACATTTGTTGTTTCAGCTTTCAGCCACTCATTTTTGCTAAAGCCTGTTGCCTGTTGTATTAAAGAGTTCTTCAGGATTCATCATTGCTTTTCTGCTTAGCAGCATATACACTGGATCAAACAGCTTCTTAGCAATTAGCTCCATCTTAGGTTTATTTAGTTCACATATGTCATTATAAAACATTCCCTCTCTCCTTAAATCATACTTACGGTTCTTCCATGCACCTTCTCCAGTCATGAATATCCTCTCCAAATTGTACAAATTGTACACTGCCATGTACTCCATGGCAGTGTTAAGGGTGACCTACAGAGAGAGCACCATGTCCCTGCCTCTCTACGCACTTCTCCCTAATTGCACTCCCATGTCTACCAGAGCACCGTTCTGATTATTTTCATGCCTCCAGTGTCCATGTGTTACAATTCCTCATTTTTTCTTGGCATTACTCTTTTCCACTATACAGCTCCCTGGTCCCAGAGGTGTGAGCTGTGATCTTAGCTCTCAGGCTTATTGCTTTGAACTTGGTTGTTTTACAAAACTTTCATGTGCATATATCAACCTTCCTAAGCCACTGTTCACTCTGTCTAGCTGCTTTATACTCACAGTGATTTTCATCTTAGACAATCTCTGTGTCACTCAGAAATGCTATCAGTGGTGATTTTATGTTTACAAAAAAGCTAGGATAACTCGGATAAGGCAAAATTAAAAATAACACAAATCACTAAATATCAGACTATGACAATACAGTGTGAAGGTGAATCAGGGAAAAGAAAGATCCAAGTTACTGATGATTGCAGACATCCCCAGCTAATGCTGACCTGATTTGGTAAGTGCCTGCTATACATCACAGCTCAAAAGCACATGCCCTGCTTCTGGACCCACGCTGGCCCAGACAACTGAAATGTCTCTGTATTTAGTGACACTAGACTCAACTAAGATCTTTATCAAAATGTCACAATGGTAGATTAAATGTTTTGTGAAATTTGTTGTGAAATATGTTCCCACACTAATCTGTAGGAAACAGACTTACAACCTTTATCACTAAATTAAATTGGATTTATCAACAAGATAATGTTGATAAAAATTATTGCCAATTATTGACTTATTTACTACCTGGCTAAGTATTAGCTTTTGTACTGTGCTACTTGGGACTAGTGTCACATTAACCGTAACACAGCTAGTTGGGTCATCCTGCTTGCTCTATTTATTTAATTTTCTTTCCTTAAACATTCACACAATACTATGAGTCATCTGAAATTTCACTGAAATGCCAGGACTTATTACAAATAAGATCTCTCTTGACAGTTCTGTTAGAGCTCTTTAGTACAGGTTATCTGAGCCTGCTGCTTTAAAATTACTAATTTACTTATGATGATGAGCCTCATCTTTAATTACTTGCAGACTAAAAAGGATTTCATCATCCTTTTGTAATACAAATACTTTATCCAGCATATATTTCCATACTAAGCATTATTAACAAAACTTCTCTACTGTATCTTGTGCCATTGCAAGGCTTTCTCCGTCAGGTTACTCAGTTGTTTTGCCTTCAGTTTAGTTGTGCCAGCCACAATTTCCTCTAGTACCTTTAGAGTCCTCACTCTAATTTTTTAGTTCATAATTCTCCATGGATATTGATTGCAGTATAGCTTCCTTTTTAAAAAATAATAAGCATCAGTGATGATGACATTTTCAACTTCTGTTGCATTTTTCATGTGCAGGTTTCACTCAGAGCATTTTATAAACATTCATTAATCTTCAAAATATACCTGAGAGGAAAATAAGTAGTGAGAAGCAAACTGAGTCAGTGGGAGAGAGTCAGTAAGAGTCTTATCTGATCATTGCAAGTATTGCAGAACTAGGACTAGCACAGACAAGTTCTGTTTCAGAGCCTTATTTCACATTGCAAATGGAATTGTGCATTGTAAGGTGATCCTTGGAGAAAAGTTATTATGCAAAAAATATAAAAGAGATTTTATGAAATAAAATATTGCAAAAACCTGAGCATCCAAAAAATAGAACAAGCTATTAAATAATGCATTTCCACGCACCTTGAAGGATAACGAAATTATAAAAATAATAATTGTTAGATTATTTAAGACAAATAATGTCAAAACAGGATAATTTCTCTTGCTGAGAAACAATGAGCCTGCGGAAAAAGGGAAAGCTGTAGATGAGATATGGCTTTTTAAGGGTTTTGACAACATTTGCTGTAACATTCTGATAAGCAAACTGAGAAAACCAAAGTGCAAACGAAATCACCATAACATGGGTACACAACTGGTTAAAAAATATATTAAAATATTACTATGAGCATGTTGTCATTAATCTCAGACAAGTCTTCTGTTAGGAATCCTAAAGGGTCTGTTCTGATTCCAGTCAACGCTTTTGTTTACTCAGACAATGAAGCAGAGATTTTGCAAGCAATTTGCAGGACAAGATTAAAGTAAAAAGGATCTTTCTAACCAGAGAACTAGTCCAAGTCCCCAAAGGTGAAGAGTTCTGAAAAGGGAGATGAAAAATGCTTGCACTGAGAAAAGGCAAATCAAGGAAAACATTCAACCACGGAAATACATAGCAAGGGAACGGCAGACCTATGCCATTTACGGTTGAAATGTTACACTGCAGAAGTTTTAATCTTTTAACGCTTCAGTGTATGCAGAGCCCTGGATGTCCTGACTCACACAACAAGCAGATGCAGGACCTGTAAAAATCCTTCTAACAGTTACTCATGGAGTTCGTGATGTATCTATCTCACATTCCACTGAGGCGCTACTTCTGGAATGACCCCACTGCACACACAGGCTGTGGAATGTGGTGGGTATCAGGCAGAGTTTAACTCTATCCATCTTCTCAATGAAATCAGCTCACAAGCTCTGTCAATGAGAGGGCAATACCTTCTAGGAGTGCAAACATGCTCCTGGTATGTATCTAATGACTATATAAAATAAAGGCAATAAGATTAGCTGAATTTATGCACATTTTCTGGTTATTTTTCTTCCTTTTTTCTGTTCAAAATGTTTGCATAACTAGGAGTTATTTAAAAAAAAGTCGTATGCT